GACCACTTCACAGGTAAGAAAACAGGCTCAGGGACATTCGGAATGCTGACAGGGCTGGGGGCGGGGTCTGGGCCCAGCTGGCTCCTGGGCTGCTCCCGACGCCCTGCTCGCTGCCCCTACAACCCACTCCACACTCCCTCAGGACCGGCTCCCACTGACAGTCAGGGAAGACTGCATGGGGCCCGCCCGCGTGTCCTGCCCCCTGATGCCGCCTCTTCCCAGAGGGCAAGACGGGTCAGCACCTCATTTCGTTCCGGTGACGACCTCAGCCAGTGGTGTGACCACCCAGGGATGCTCGGTTCAAGGGCCAGAGTGACCCAGGGCACCCCCAGGGCCTGGAGACACAACAGGCACGTGTTGAGGGACCAAGGAGAGTAGACAGCGGGAGGAAGCTGCGCCCCTCGGGGTTGACACTAGGGGACGTGGGGGCACCTAGAGGGGGCACAGGGCAGCAGGCAAGGACTTAGTTCCTCAGAGCAAATACACCGATCTACTGAATAGCAGGGGCCAGTTTCTCCTGGAGAAGGGAGTTACAGACGCGGACGGGGGCAGAGGGACCCCTGAGGGTCCTGCGGCAGGTGGGCGTCAGTGGGACCCCGGGTTGTAAAACTGCACATCCGCAGGTGGAGAGAGAGAGGTGTGTACAGCCTACAGGCCACTCACAGCGGAAGGCTCCCACGGCACCGACTCGATACCCGTAGTCCCAGAAAGTGGTGCCAAAGGAGATGAAGTTGCAGACAGCTTTGTTGTTAGTTTCAGAAACTTGCTGAAAAGCCCATGTAAACAAACCTCACGCCATTCAACCCTCAACAGAGCGTCCAGCTTTCTCCCTGACCTGAGCCCCTCACCTCGCGGGGCCACCCATCCCAGCACAGCTCGCACTCAGGCCAACGCGAACCCCAGCCCCGAAGGCTCACTTCCAACCAGCCCCCCGCACCTCAGACGCCTTCCGCTGCCCTTGACCCAGGGAGACAGTGATGACACTGGCCCCGCAGGTGGGCAGGCCAGCGGAGTCCTGGCTCCCGCAAAGCCCACTTTAGTTGTGACCACAGCGTCCCCGGGATGGTTGGCCATGGACGCCTCAGCTGGTGTGGCCCTCATTCCCCACCAGGTGGCGCTCTCTGGCCATTTTCTGTCCAGTGGGGAGAGCCTCCCAGGGACCCAGGCAGGTGAGCATGGACAGGGGCCAGGCACTAGGCTCCCTCTGTGGGTGGCCCAGGGAGGGCCCTGCATGTGGGGAACAGAAGCCCTGCCGTGGGAGTGGAGAGCAGGGTCTGGGGGGCGGCTTGCTCAGAGGGGGCGCATGCAGCTTAGGGGGCCAAAGCTTGGGGCTGCTGCACGGAGGACCGTCCAGCATCCTGGCACACGGCCTCAGTTAACAACCCGTGTGGCAGAAGGGTTCCCCGTGACGCTGCCCCACAGGTTGGGCACTCAGGGGAACCCAGGCCTCCACGGGCATTTCTGTTCACCTGCTGCCCAGGACGCATGTGTGCAGCATCATCACCAAGGCCCTGTGCCTTGCTCCTGGATGCTGTCCTCAATGCAGACAGGAAGGCCAGACCCCCAAGAGCACCCACAGGTGCCGCCCAGCCCCGCAGAGCGCAGCAGCCACAGAGGGACAGACACCACCTATGGGGGCCCTGGGAAGGGGCAGCGGCTCCCAGGTCAGCTCATGGTCAGGGGCTGCAAGCTGGCTGCCCAGTGTCCCGACCACCCCCGCCACTTGCAGCTGTGGGAAGGGGAGATGCCAGTGGCAGGAGTGAGGCACGCCTGCAAACCAGATGAAGCCCTAACGCCCCACACTGGGGGGGGCACTTGGCCACTGTGGGACCCGGCCCTCTGGCCCCACCCTCTCTGCTCATTCCGGGGTCCTCCCTACAGGAGACGGACACTTGGCATATCTGCAGACCCTGAGCGAGCAGCTGCCATGCACCAGGTCCCTGTGACCTTGTGCCACTATCAGGGGACTCCTGGCAGTGGTAGGGAGAAGCCACCCGCTCACCTTCCCCAGGATGGGCTGGGGCAGCTCCCGGCCAGGCTGGGAGGGGACCAGAGGGACAGTGATCGGTGCACCAGGGCCTCCCTGGGCTGGAAATCCTGCCCCTCACCGGCTGTGTCACCCTGAGCCTCAGCTTCCCCATCTGGAAAGTGGGGACACCCCACACTGAGTAGGCAATAAAGGGACATCAGCTGGGCCTGACACAACCCCCTACCACAAGACCCTGCCCCCCTGCCCTCTACACTTCAGTCCAGCCCTGGGTGAGGGGGGCAGAGGCCAGACGTCTCTGAGCTTGAGGCCTGAACCCTGCAAGTGGCTGTGTGTGGAGTGACCTGGCCTGGGGCCCCGGGCTCTCCCTCCCGCCACCATGTGCCCACAGCACAGCACCGTGTGAGGGACAAATCCCTGCAGGGCCGTGAGCCACCCCGGGCACCTCGCCCCACCCGCCGGAGCCCCTGTAAACTCAGCCCCTCTGAGCACTTAGGAATGACAGACCCCGAAGACCCCGGAAGGCAGAGCCCAAAGTTCAACAAGAGGGAGGGGTGATCTGAAGGAGTGGAAGCCGTCCCACCCCGTGGGCCCCACCCACCCACGGGCAACACCTAGGAGCGCCCCATCCCCCTCTGCACAGAAGGCAGGGGGGCCTGCACAACCTGAGGGCAGAGCTGGACAGGACGGGGTCTGGAGGGGGTGGAATCCGGCCCTGAGAGAACTTTCCAGCATTCAGCAGTCATGACAGCCTGCCCTGCCCTCAGTGAGCCCTCCCCCCATCCCAGCTGGACCAAGTCAGGTGACCCGCTTGAGGTCACCTATCAGGAAAGTGGGGCTTGACAGGGGATTCTGAGGACCCCAGGGCACCACACGGGCTTCCCTGGGACCTGGGTGTCCACCGGGGGCTGCATTTCCTGCCTGGGGGGTGGGCAGTTTGCAGAAGAGGGGAGCTCCCTGCATGGGGAACAGCCAAGGGCTCAGGTGCTGGGGCCACCCTCGGCCTCTCCCGAGTCACTCCCCAAATTGTCCCGGTGGTCGGGGTCGTCAGCTGGGTCTGAGGATTATTATTAGAACTTTGGCAGGGTCTTTGGTGGTGGGGGGGAGCAGGGATGGGGCAGGTGGAGTGGCCGCCCCCATGGCCTCGTTGGGGAGCAGCCCGTGCCTGCGTTCCTGGTCCCCTGGCCTGCGCTCAGCCAGCAGCAGGCCCCGGGCGCCTCAGCCCCCCTCCGTCAGAGCTGGGTGTTGGAGGGCCGCTGTGCAGAGCGGTCAGCCCCTGGGAGCCACTTTGCAGGCTTCCTCCATCTGAGCCCCCTTGGGCAGAGGCAGGTGGCCAGGGTGGCCCCACCACCAGGAGGAGGGTGGGTGGCATCTCAAATCTCTGGGGCCACCCTACCCCCCGCTCGGTCCCTCAGGCTGGGTTCCTGCCAAGTGGCTGCGGGCGTCTGCGTGCACCCCTCCACTGACGCGGGACTCACTCCCCCCGAGCTGCCCCTTTCACCTGGGGCAGCACCCACGGCCAGAGTCACCCTGCACGCTTGCAGCCTGTCTTCACCCAGACAAAGGGGCTGGGCTAAGGAAGCTGCAGACAGGAACCTGGGCCTCAGAGGCCGGGGCCCCTCGCCCCAGATCCCTCCCTGCGCTCCCCCTTGCCCCCAGCCCACTCTGTGGACAGAACTGTGGGCAGGGAGCCAGGACACTGGGAACAGAGAGGCGACACTGCAGGGAGAAGCAGGGCCTGTGGGCGGCCGAGAGCACAGGGTGAACCCTGGGCCCAAACCCCTCCAGGGGCCGCAGCCAGGGCAGGGGAGGGGCGGTGGCCGGCGGAGGCCGGGGACTGGGCTGAGGGTTCTGCAGGAAAACCCCACAGGGGTCTCCCTGAGGGCAGTGCCCAGAGCCCACCCAGCACCCTCGGTGCCCAGCGGGTGGGGCTGGCTGGAGAGGGCTCCCATTCCCTGTAATTAAGGTTTCTGCCTCAATCAGACGCGTTCAGACGGGAAGGGACTGCCGAGCCCAGCTCCCTCGTGTGAAACACAAGGTGTGAAAGCCAGTGTGTTTGTGGAATAAACACGCCCGTTCAGAATGACAACCTGAGCTGCCATGAGCAGGTAGCACGTGCCCAGCGCCCCCCACCCCGTCCTGCACCCCGCCCCGCTCAGGGACACGCTGGGGCGTGGCAAACGCTACACAGGCTGGCCAACCAGCCGCCTCTGCCTGGGACCGCTGACCCTCCGCCGCCCTGGGCCGCCAGCGCTGAGGCGCAGCAGCAGGTGTTGGACACGCTCTGCTCTGTGACCAGACCCGCCCTGCGCTCCCGCCTCTGTGGGCGCTCTCCTGCGGGGACCACCTAGGGCAGAGGGCACTGTTTCACCAGTTAGATGTAAAGGAAACAACTGTCTCCACTGCAGAAGCAGCACAGAGTGAGACAGACGACAAACCCCCTCCAGACCCGGCAGGCGACTGTCCCCCGCATTGGGACCTTTGGGGCGCTGCCCTCTGCCCTGGCCTGCTGGCCTGAGGCTGTGCCCAGTACAGCCGTGTCATTTCCAAAAGAGGCACAGCATTCCAGAAGACCGCACGCTTATGAACAGCATCTCACACTTATTGGGCGCCTGCTGTGTACGAGGGTCTCTCACGGACGCTTTCCCCGCAGGGAGGGGCCACTTTCCAGTTTACAATGAGCAAAGGGGGTCTCAGAGACCCCCCTCCCCTGGCCTCACAGATCAAATCTCCCCCCCAAGCCCGGCTTTCCCCTGGACCCCGCCTTCTCTGCCACCACCCCAGGCTGCTCAGCCAGGCACATGCAGGGGCCTGACAGCAGGTTGTGTCAGGGGATGTCCCACACACAGCCACAGCCACCCTCACCCTGCAGCCGGCACTGTCTCCCGGGCAGGAAAACAGCCCCCACCGATGGCGCCCCCTCCCCTCCTCCCTCCCCTCTTCCTTCCTTTCGTGATTTGTTTTCAAGTTCAAGACACCCTTCCAGGGTCCCCCCCCCCCCCACCGCCGCACCTTCTCTGTCGCCCCCAGGGAAGATAAGTGGGCCTGGGGCCTCGTGCCAGACCCTCAGGGCTAGAGTCCCACGTCCTCAGCCCCTCGTCGCCTCCTGGACCTCCCATAGCCCCCTGGAAAACCTGCCAGGTGCTGGCTCTAGGACACTGCCCCCTGCCCTGTCTCCCAAGTCGTGACAGTAATTGCCCGCTGTGTGACAAGCCCTCTTTAGAAGCTTCTCCAGGACCAGGCCTGGTCCTACTGGGATGGCAGGTAAGCAGGGCAGGGGTGGGGTCCAGCGCCAGGGGCCAGGGCCCGAGCCACACCCACTCACAGCCAGGCCACGGGCCTCAGGGCATGGATGTGGAAGCGGGCGGGGGTGATGCGGTTAGGCTGGGCAGAGGGCTGCAGAGCCAGACCTGGGTGTCCCTTGAAGGGGCATGAGCAGAAGGCAGATCCCCACGGCCACCCCTGGGGGATGGAGGATTCCTCGAGGCCTCAGGGCCCTTCTTCACGGGGCTCCTGTTTTAGGGGTCTTTACCCTGCAGGTGACATGGGGGGCTGACACAGGATCCTGTGCACCCCAAAGGGAGTAGACATCAGCCCCAAGACGATTCCGCTGGGTGACCCCCGCAGAGTGGGCGCTCTCTGCCCAGGCGTCACGGTGAGTGCAAATCACGCCTCCAGCCTCAGGCCTGTCTCCCGGGGAGGGCTGTAAGGGCCAGTGGGAGGGGGCACGGAGCGTTTCTGGGGGGCTGCGAGGATGGGGGGCTGGGCTGGAGAAGGGGAGGGCGCGGCTCGGGACAGAACCAGGCGCCAGGCTGGGCTCCTTGTAAAGGGAAAGTGACTTGTTTCTGCCAATGGGTGCGGGTGAGGGTCAGGTGAGTGGTGCGCGTGGAGGGGCTGTCACACGACCTGGGTCACCACAACTCCCTCACCACCTCCCCAGACACCTGCCAAGTCCTGTGACCCTACAATGGACGAAGCTCTAAACAGGCGAAAGAAGCTAAAAAAAGAGAGCAGAGCTATTAACGTGGCTATTAACACTTCGAGGAACTACAGTAATTAAAACCCCAGGGCGCCGGCCAGGCGAGACCCACAGGCCAGGAGCCCAATGAACAGCCCAGATCCAGGCCCAGCCCCAGAGAAGAGCCAGTGCGGAACACAGGGGACACGGTGACGGTGACACGGTGACCGAACGGCAGCCCGACGTCTGTCAGTCCGGTGACAGCATCTTACAGGAAAATAGGTAGGGATCAGCTTTCTTAACAGAGAAGGATTTTGAAGCTAAAAGCAATGGAAGGAATCACAAAATATCAATGGATTTGGCCACATAAAAATATATGTTCAATAAAAAGCCCCAAATTAAAGGGAAACAACGAATCAGGAAAACTGACTGACAGAGAACGTGTCAAGGGACTGGCGTCATCACCACAGAGGGCAGTCGTCAGCAAAAACTAAGAAAACACCCGAAGCTCCCACATGAGCAGGCAAACTTTAGTTTTCAGTTTTTCAGTTGGAGTTTTTTCAGTTTAAAAGCCTTGAAACACGCACCGTTTAGTCTATTTCAATTACACTGCGATAAAGCTGAAAACAAGAGGCAGAAAGTAGAACTGTACATAAATCCTGATCCCAACTATGTCAGAAGATCTGGAAGAAAACATCTGAAAATGTGAGCAGCGGTGTCTTGGGTGGTAGAATTCTGGGTGGTTCCTTCTTCCTAGTCGTCTGCACTTTTCACATTTTCTACAATAAGCACGCACTCCGTCTAGAATCAGACGTGTATAATTTTATTTAATTATCACCCACGCTTAATCTCATCACGCCCATCTTTAAAGACCCCTACGGGACCACCACACACAGAATAAAGCCAGACTCCATCCTGGCATCATGGGTCCTGGGGTCTCCTTGCGTCTCTGTCCACCCCCCTCCCACACTCAAACCCCACAGAGGGAGCCGCATGGCCAGAGGTCAGAGAGGCCTCCCCAGGGAAGCGGTGGGGCCACAGAGGTGGAAGGCAGAGGTGGCCTTAAGCAGGCAAGAGAAGAGGCAGCCATTCCAGGTCTGTCCTGTGGTCGCCAGACCCACCCTGAGGAACTCGAGTTTTGACCACCTTGTGGCCAGAATGCAGACAGGACAGCACGCTGAGCTCAGGCCTGGGTCCAGGGGCGGCCCCGCCACACCCTCCATCTTCTCAGCAGCCCCCTTCATATCCTGGGCTGGATCCTCCTCCCCCAACCCCGAAAGGGCCCTTCCTGACCCCACCCTGACTCCTACCCTGGTGCCCAGTACTTCCTCTGGGGCACCAGACCCCGGCAGCCACCCAGCCCTAGGCCTGCCCTTGGGTGTTCTTGAACACCTCATACCAAACCAGACGTGCAGTCGCCAGACCCTTGCCCATGCCCTCCTCAAGTGGGAGACCCCAGCTGTCCCCGGATTTCTCTTGCCCCTCCCCATGTCCAGCCCCACCCAGGCCACCAGCCTCCACTGCATGGCCTACCCCTGCCCAGCCTCCTCGGGGCGTCTGTGGCTTCCAGGACATCCATCACCCAGGACAGGAGCCATCTTCCAAAAGCACCACCCACCAACGCCCACTCTGAGCCCTCCAAGCTGACCCCTAACTGCCCAACTGCTGGCCATTCCCCCACTCTGCCTCCATCCTCACTGTCCCCTCGGCTTGGCTCAGTCCCAGCACCCCTGGGGGTCTGAGACCCACAGCACCCAGGAACCACTTCTGGGGAGAGAGGGCGGGCCCATCAGCCTCTCCAGCCTCAGTGCCCAGTGCCTCAGTTTCCCCAGTCTACTTGGAGGGGCCACACCCTGCCGTCTGGCCCAGCAGCTACTCTGAAGATAATAGCAATCTAATCCACTAGGATGGCCATGATTTTTAATTTTTAACTTTTTTTTTTTTTTGAGGAAGATTAGCCCTGAGCTAATATCTGCTGCCAATCCCCCTCTTTTTCTTTTTGCTGAGGAAGACTGGCCCTGAGCTAACATCCGTGCCCATCTTCCTCTACTTTATATGTGGGATGCCTGCCACAGCATGGCGTGCCAAGCAATGCCACGTCCGCAGCTGGGATCTGAACCAGCGAACCCCAGGGCACTGAAGCAGAACATGTGAACTTAACTGCTGCGTCACCGGGCCGGCCCCCATGATTTTTAAAAATGGAAAATAAGGGTTGGTGAGGATGTGGAGACACCGTGAGGAAGTCTGACGGTTCCTCGCTGCGACACCACGTGATCCTGCTGACGAGGAGTGTCCAGAACTGACGAGTCCCCAGAGACAGAAAGCTAGTGGGCGGTTGGCAGGGATGAGGGGGATGTGGAGGGACTGCTGGTGGCACAGTGCATTTTTGGGGGGTGATCAGAATGTTCTGGAACTAGATAGAAGTGGTGGTTGCACAAGGCTGTGCACACACTAAATGCCCCTGCATCGTCCACTTTGGAATGCTTAATTTTACATTATGAGAACTTCACCTCAGTTGAAAAAACTTCTTAAGGGAGTAGTCTGATACCCCCGCAATGTCCGTGCCCCCGGCTGGCTCGCTGCTCTCTCCCCAGAGCCCCTCTCCGCTCTGCCACGAGGTGCCCATAGCCTTCCTCCTCCTCAGGGAGCTGCCCAAACCCTCTTGGAGCAGATGACAGGCCCGCGGGACCCCAGTGCAGCCCTGGCACGCCGCATCACCACGCAGGAGGGCCGGACGTGGGGCAGCCCGTCCAGTCTCCCTGCCACACCCCGTCCCACCCCTGAAATTCGATGGATGCTCTTTCCTATAGTCGAAGGCCAGGCTGAGAGCGGTCCCCTCTTGCAAGTCAGGACAACATGGAGGCCAGGACCCCGTCTGCACGCCCACCCCCCATACACGCCCTGTGCCCACCAACCACCAGGTGCAGCACCCTGTCCTGGCCCCCGACTCGCCCTCCCTGCCCCCTTGCAGGAGAGGAGTTCTCAGACCCCTCCCAAGGCTGAGCCACTTTGAATCCCCCCACGGGGTCAGCACTGGTGCACCCACTCCAGGCGCTGGTTGTCTGCCAGCTCCATTGCTCTGTGCAGCCCGACACCCACCCCGTGCTCCCCCACCTTGTAACGCACTTGGTCAGAGCTGGCCTTGAAGGCCACTGCCTTCCTTCCTGGCCCCGGGAGCTGCTCCATTGGCCCACAGCACCTCGCCACCCCATGTGCATGGACACCAAACACCGGTCCAACCCCCACCAGCCTGTGGTTCCAGTGGGAGTGGTCTGGACGTCCGAGGGGGCCCCCTCCCCAGCCCGGTCAGTGAGCCCTGGGCTCCGAGTGAGACAGCCACACCCCGGTATTTCCGGTGCACCAAGTTTTACACGAAGTGCCCCAGCTGTCCTGCCCAGGGCCAGCACAGCCCACGGGGGCTCATGCTCAGGGGTCACCAGCAGGCCTGGGGCGGGGCCTTGGCCGGGCATCTGAGGACATCCTGGCACCAGCTCCCTGCCCCCCGCGCCTGCCCGGTGATGCAAACAGGATCTCATGCAGGAAGGAACTGTGTAACCCAAGCAGGCATTTCGCTGAGTTAAGAGGGTGAGGCGAGTGAACAGCACTAAGGATGGTGGTCTGGTTGGCCAGGGTGTCAGGGGCCAACGTCCCGGGGGATCCCGGAATGGCTCTTCATCTGTCTTGATAACTCCACCTCCCGGCCCCCAGCTGAAGCAAGCAGCAGGATTCTGGGGGTGTGCGGGACCGGAGGTACAAGCAGGGGTCGCCCCGTACCCCATGAGTATCCTGAGGGCAGATCCAGTGCTGGGGAGCCTGTGAGGCAGAGTTTCTGGTCAAGGGTTGTCCCAAGGGCCCAGACATGGAAGTTTCTTTCTAGAGGAACAGAATTCCCAAGTGGGGACACGGTGGCCCTCACCGGGTGGAGAAAGAGAAGCCAGGTCTCAGCACCCGTGTGGCCGGGCCGGGCGCCTCCCGAGCTCGACCCAGGCCCAGCCCACCTGTCTCCTCTCACTTCTCCCCCAAGATCTCTGGGGTCAGGTGGAGAAACGGAAGGACAGGCCCAGCGACTGAAATCTGAGCCCTGACTTGTCCACAAGCGAGACTCCCAGGGGCTGGGGTAGGAGTGGCCACACACCAGCCTCCTGGCCCCAGCACACCTGCCTCCTCCTTCAGCCTCCCAGGACGAAGACCACATCTGCAGGATGCCCCCTATCCTGAGAGCTGGCACTGCATCGGGGGCAGTCACGGACCATCGGCGGTCCCAGCTGAGCCACCACCCAGGCTCTCCTCTGGCCCTGGAGGGAAACCGAGACCTACCCTCCCCATATCAGAACCCAGCTCCAGGCAGGGGTGCAGACAGACCCCATGCCCACAGCTGCCTGGCTCCACCCCCAGCAAGGGAGAGGGGCCCGAGGGGCGCCTGGGAGGGAAGCCGGTACCCCGCTGCCCCCACCTCAGAACCTTCCAAACCCCTCCACCCCAATGTTCCAGTCCCCTAATGTGCCCGGACGTATGTGGGCACCGTCAGCCTCGTGGAGGATGGTGGGTGCCGGGGGCGTGCAGGGCCGGCCCGGTGCTGGGAGGGACCGGGGTCAGGGGAGAAGGTAATTGGGACGGTCTCGCCCCCCAGGGCAGACGGGTGGGCATGAGCTGAAGGCACCATCTCCCCCAGAGAGGGAAGCTGAGTGTCCCGTGGCCAAGGAGAGGCCGCAGCTGTTGTGCCAGCTAAGGGTAACCTAGCGCCAGGCCCAGACCCGGCAAAGGCCACAGGACTCGCGGACAAACAGCTCAAAGGCACACGTGCTCATGGCCCTCCACCGGGCAGAGGGCCCACCGAGGCAACGTGGCCTTGGGCCATGTGGGTCACACCACAGGAGGGTCCTCTCCCAGACCCGGGACCTCAGGTCCGCAGAGGGCACTAGGTAGTCGGTGTGGCCATTGTCACCTCCCTCCTGCCGTCAACGTGGGTCAGGAACTAAAACGTCACCCAGAGCCTAAGAAAGGAACCCTCAGGCTCTGCATCCCGCCACCCGCAGTGGGGGCTTGGGGGGGCTTCCCCCCCAGAGCAGGGGTGGAACACACAGACACACACACAGACACACACACACACACATACACAGGCTTGTGCTCAAACGCACACATGCACACATGGATGCCACACATAGGCTCACACACAGACATGTTCACATACACTCCCACGTTCACATGTGCACTCACATGTTCCCACCCAGCCACACTCACACACGCATTCTCCGTCCTCACACCTGCACTCGAACACATGCATATGCACTCACACGCACAGGTATGTGCATGGTACTTGCACACCCACACATTTACACACCTACTCTCACACTCCCAGCAGTCACACACGTTTATACCCACTCGTGTGCACACACACCTCTCACACCAGGATATGTGCTCTCACACACGCACGGGCAGTGTGGTGGGGGGGGCACCCAGCCCCATCCCCTTTGTGCTGGGACCAGCATCCACTCCCCACTGGTGTCTCCCGAGTTCCCACCCGGCCAGTGCTGGACACAAACACAGGGACAGAAGGAAGTTCCCCAACTTCAGCTCTGGCCGGTGACATCCTCCTGCTGACACGTGAGAAAGCCGGGGCCTGGTCACCACCAACACCAGAGGCTCCTTGACACTTTCCCCAGTGCACTGGGGCCCAGCCCCAGGGCCAGTCCTGGGGCAGTGTGGGTGTCCAGGATGCCCCCGATCTCCAGTCCCCAGTAGTTGAGAAGCTCCCAAGGGACAGCCAGCAGGGGCGGCTTGGTGGGGTCCAGATGAGAATGGGGTGACACGGGGGCTATGGTCCCTGTGTCTCCACTCCTGGGGCCCCCCCCCGACCAACACACACTGTCCCCTCTGCACGAATGCTCCTCCCACTTGGCCTTCAGCCTCTGGCCACCTGT